TGTCTTGCTCGCATGCAAAGAAAGAGAATGAAGGAGGTCCGACGATTAGGGTAAAATCTCAAGCTCAGATATCATGTTGATTTTCAAAATTCAGCGGAATTATACTATTGAAGTAAAACAGTGGTATAAATATCTCTTACATGAATCATATAATACGAAAGATAATAAAAAAGAAATAACTGAAAAGAAAAGATATAACATATATATCTCTAATTAGTCAATTCATATTAATTACTTGGATATAAAGTAAACAACATAAAATATAAAATGGACAAGGAAATAACCCTAATCCAAGAAAATAAATTTTATCCTCATAAATTCTAATAGAAATAAATTATTTTCTAATATAACTTCTAACACCCCTCCATATCAACTTCAAGCATGTTTTGAAAATGTTAAATTTATTTATATAATGTAATAAGGGCTCATGATATCCTTTCTTACAAACAAAATATTTTAGGCAGTTGTATGGAGCCCTAAATCTATATAAGGAACTCTAATGTTGTAGTAGAAATAATGAACAAATGAATGAAAATTATTGAGACCGTTGTCTTCAAACCCTTGATTTTCATTTTGTATGTGATTTAATTCATGTAATTAATCTTTAGATGGTCATTTTTGTCATGCAGTTAAAATTATGTTGTCGTGGTTCACCCATTCTCGTAAGAGGTCACAACATCATATCAACTTTACAATGCCGTTGTTTATTATCCAACAAAAGGAAACCACAACATATTCAGTCTAAATACTAAAAACAAATTATTCACTTAATCACGTATCTAATAAACCCTAAATTCAAGACACTAAATGCGAACCTCATGGCCCAAGCATGACACCACATTTAGAGGACATTGGACTTTCTAATAGTTTTATGCAGGCGATGATGTAATTAACTAGAAGAGAAGAACCATGGGAATGCTACATATTGATTAACTAAACTAGATAATAAATCTGGTTCTGTGTTACCCTTTTAAGTCACTTTTTAGCAGAAAAGAAATAAGGATTGCTCGAACAAGATCCAGATAATTACGATAAAAATGATGATTAAAATAACATTGATTATAATAAAATAAATTTATGATGAAAACAGTAAAAGAACAAAAATAGTAGCTTCATGCAGTTATCTTCAAGCAGAAACTGAACCAACTTGAAGCTGTGTGTGTGTTAAACAAATGCTGAGCAGTGAGTAGCCTTGAACAGCTGGCATAATATCCAACAGAGCCACCTACTGCAAGCATCAGCAACAGTGCTGAACTGTTTTTGATCTCTTCTACCATGATAAGTGCTGCTTCAAATAAGAAGGCCGATGAAATGGCCCACAGTGAAGCCAATTTTTGGCGCTGCCAACGACGAAGACAAGAACCAGCATTGTGCAGGGCTGTTAAGTAAGATCATTGTTCTCGAACAGCTCATATTTGGCTCATTAAATAGCTCATGTTTAATTCGTTCAAAAAACAAACAACCGGACACAAATAATTTTTGCTATCGCGTAGACTAGTTTGAGCTCAAATGAATTAAACAATTAAATAAATAGTATTATTATTATATTTTTTATTATGTATTTAAAAAATGTTAAATTTTATTATTTTTTAAATCATTTGAGCTATCTTCAAGCCGAATACGAGTTGAAACAAATGAACGAAGGATTTTGAATATAACAAAACACGAACAAGCTATTCATGAGTCATCTCAAACACAAGCCTATTTTTGAAAAAAAAAATGAACGGGTCAAGCACGAACAAAAATTGTGCTCCCTTAAGTTGGGCTTGTTCACGCCCCTAGAATTGTGCCCAAGTAGTTATCCACCTATCCGACTCTGTAGAATAGAAAAGTGATGGCATAATAAAAGAAATTTATGGCTGAAGGGATGTTGAGAAATTTTGTGAAGCTCGATAAAAAAAAGCTCTAAAGCATTTCTGATATTGCATGATATATCTAAATATGGATATTAACTTATGTATCTTGTGAGAGGAAAAGCTCGGACTAGGGAATACCCATAGTACCAAATTGTAAGCATTAGGAGCGCCAGCGTGACTTAAGGGTTCACGTCCACAAATCAATTCCAACAATACAACTCCAAAGCTGTAGACATCACTTTTCTCAGTCAACTGTTGAGTAGCAAAATACCTGCATTAAAAAGTAGGAGAAATAAAAGCTTAACAGAAGTTTATGAACTAAAGATAAGATTACTATACCAAAGCAACATAAAGTTGGATTCTTACTCAGGGTCAAGGTACCCCTCTGTTCCCTTAACGGCAGTAGTTATATGAGTGATGTCAGTTTGAGAAATTTGCCTTGACAGACCAAAGTCGGCAACTTTTGCATTCATATCTAGATCCAAAAGAATGTTGCTGCACTTTATATCACGATGAATGATCCTTGGATTGCTTCCATTGTGCAAATACTCCAATCCTTTAAAATAAATTGGATTTGGAAGAAGAAAAACACTTAAAAATTTGGCTTAGAAAACACTAAGGGGCTGTCTGACAACGGATTTATCCCCGGATTTAAACGGGATGTAAGCTAAATCTTGTGAGACGGTCATTTTAGACAAAATAAAGCCCAAGCTTTGTTAAAACCGGATTTCACCAATTTCCGCCGTAATCCAGGATTTACTAAATACTATGAATCGGCGAATTTAAGTTCGCATTTTTTTTTCACTCCAACTGCTGTAATAGTTTTAAATCTCGGCAAAACTTGTCAAACAGTTTTACAAGATTTACAAAATTTAGTAAATCTATTGCCAGACAGTTTTTTGGATTTAACCCCTTCAAAGATTTAGTAAATCCGGATTTATGGGATTTACTAAATCCTAATAACTTAAATCTCATCCGTTGGCAAACAGCCCCTAATCTATAACATAACTTCCATAAAAAGCCATATAAATAGAGAAACATGAACGAAAGATAAAAACTGAAAAACCTGTGTAAGAAAACAAAATGAGCCCAGCCATGCCTCGCTAATAGGAAGCCAAAAGGAACCAACATGCCAGAATGGAAGATTGAAAAATTGCATGCAAAGAGCAATACTTCAGCGCTCCATTCTCCATATTGAAGGTTAGAAAAAACACATGTGAGACATGGGATTGTGAACGGAAGGACCCATTATTAAGGTCATTCAGGAGAGAAGGGCAGGGAAAGATCTCTAATGTTCGAAGTAAACCAAAACTTATTTAAATGCAGCATGCAATAAGGGTACAATTGGATCAAGTATGATGTTTTCACATCCAAACAAAGTACAACTATTGAGTTGTGAATGGTTTCTGATTGAGTTGTTGAAATATCCTCTCAGATTTTCCAATTCACATCTATCTATTGATCTATCTATCTATTTAATGTTTAATTGTGTATTTCTAATAAAAGTTGTAAGAATAATAATTTTATTAAAGTAAAATGTCAACATTTACAATCATGATAAAATATATAATTAAAAATAAAGATTATTTAAGCATAAATAAAATAATATCATTAAAATTTATTAATATAAATGCTTTCCAGGCAATTATAGCCGACAAATTATATGAGACAAAATTCACAAAGTTGTAGATAACTCATGAGATTTTAAACTAATATTTTTTTTTAAAATAAATTAGGTTTATAGAAAATGAATGACAGAAGAGAAGCTATTTAAAGAAGACAAACAAAACGTAATTTTTAAAAAAGCAAAATCAAAACAAAGGTATATTTCCTTAGCAAGATGAGACGCGAGCCTTGAAGCAAATCAAGGTGTAAGCCTCAAAATAGAAGAAATAAAAACACATATGATTAAACATATTTCATAAATATGACAAACCAGCAATATATTTATTCCATTTATCATTATAAAAAAATCACAAAAATTAATCTTAAATATTAAAACAAAATAAAATTTTAAATCAAAATTTAAACTTTAAGCTTTAAATTATTCAACTTAGAATTTAAAAATGTCACAAAGACCAGAATTCATAATAAGCTCGTCATTATTTTAATCAAATTTTGGAAGAAACGTTAATTACCATATTTTAAATTAATATTTTCAAGTAAAATATTTGACTTATAAATGTTTGAAAAAAGAGAACTTTAAAAAACATGATCAACAAAGAGAAAGGTAATTTCATTTATAATTATTTTATTTTGATAGATTAATTTCAATTATTTTCGGAACTCTTTTGATTATTTTGATGATTATTATTAGTGGAATAAAACAAATTTAAATTTAAATTTCAGAGTCCGACCATCTATTATCACATTGGTAATTTCAAGCCCTCGGGCCAGATTGTGACATTTTATCTCTCTAGAGAATAATAAGTAAATGTAAGTTAGATGGCTCCTCTGTTGGTGGGTGGTCATTTGAATCCAACTATGTAATTAGAGGTGGTGTCATAAAGGAACATTGTCATGGATGAGATTACACATGTAGGGGTGTAGAATTAACAAGATGATTTTCTGGTGGAAAATGAACTAATAATAAGGAGGGAATAGAGGTGAAGAAAGAATAGAAAGACAGAGTCACATGAAGTGTTACATCGGTAAAAGCACATAACCATCATGAAAGGGAATCATAGCATCAATAACCTTTTTGAGTATTAGAGTAATTAAGGAAGTACGCCCAATAACACTGGAAAGTGTTATATGAGTGAAACCCATGAGCAAAACAAGTACAACCAAAGATCAATAGTGTAAGAGGAAATATAACATGACCAAGATAAAGAGTGCACATGGGTGATATGTGGTCTAAAGGCGAAGTGATACAATTGATGAGATAGCAGACACTCAAAATAAAATCCCCTCAAAACTAATGAATATTTATATGAAATTAATGCCCTGAAAACATCATTGTATTGAGACATGTAAGGACAAATGTTTAATGAATAATATCATTAACAAAACAAAAGATGCAAAATTAAGACTATAAATTATAATACATAAACGTTCTACCTGTGGAAGAAAGTTAACCTTTAATTTCTTGATTTATAAAAAATTAAATTTATAAAGGATCTCATAGTGTCATTTAGGAAAAATTTATGTAACCAAAAAAAATATCAATAAAGGTGATAAAACATCAAAAGCACGGGTGAGTAACGATCGATCTAGGAACCTAATGTTAAGTTAATTAACTCAAAAAGCCGAAAATAATGATTGGTAGTAAATATGGAAGAAAACATGACGGTGTTTAGTTAGCTCACATGCAAAATCAAAGTATAGAAAAAATGAAGAACCAATGCCCAAAACTTGATTGGAAGAAGTGTGGCCAAGATTATACAACAAGAACAACAAGCCTTTATCCCACTAAGTGGGGTCAAATTATAGTGCCAGTAAAAAGGAGTTTTAGGAGAGGAGAGAGAGAAAGTAGCAATTGTCTTCAAATATTAGGCCCCCACAGGCTTTAACATCTCCATATATCGTCTTCTTCAAGCTTAGATACTAAAAAGAAAAACTGAAGAGATAGAAGTTTACAAAATAATTATGACATTTAATAAACCATGAATAAATAATTAACATAAAAGAAAATAGGAAACATAAAATGTCAGAGAGAGAGAGTATTCAAGGTGATCATGATGTTTTTCTCAAAGATGATAAAGAGAGAGAGAGAGAGAGAGAGAGAGAGAGTATTCATGGTGATCATGATGTTTTTCTCAGAGATGATAACAAAGATGATAAAGGGTGATCCATCAATCACAAGAGGGTTTAGGGTTGTCATTTAGTCATACACCTTGGCAGTCTCATGAAACATAACTATGTAGGCATTAAAAATTTTAAGATAACTCAGTAACCAAATAAGAATGATATAATTAGTCTTGTCATTTAGATTATAATATCATCATGAGCCACAGGAGAAACCTAGATGATAACATTTGTCATGAGACCAACAAAGAAACAAAAGGCCATTAACCACAACAGATAATTCACACCATTGAATTTGATAGAGCTACCAATAATGGAAAAGGGTGTCGCGTCATGCAGTAGAGGTCATAAAGACCATGATATGATAGGAGATAAGAACAAAATTAGAGATATGATATTAGATCATTAATTAGAGATCATTCTGGCGTGAGTTCAAAGCATGATAAGCAACAAGAAAAGAGCAAAGCAAAAACAGCATGTTGCATCCGCACATTGCAAAAATAATGGTTATCACAGCGAGCAATCAATTAAGGTAAGCGACGACATGTGTATGGCAACAAGTATAGTATGAGGCATCAAGGCGGGTGGCAAATGCATGCGATGGTGGGCATGCTAGCAACAACAAGTGTGTTAGCATGTCGATAAAAACATGAATGTGGGCATGAATGTGGGGCTGTGGAGCCTAAGCACAAGGCACCTGGCGCATACGCACCAGGTTGTGAGTGCTTAAGTGCCCACTTGGATGCTGCTTGAACAGAAAAGTCGGCGCCTAGGTGTCGGCTTTGGGCGCATATGCATCTGTTATAGAACAAGCACTGCTCTTATTCCCGAGAGACCGGCGCCTAGCACCTAGGCGCCCAATATGAGGCGCCGATACAAAGCGCTTGGCGCTTAGGGGCCAAGTTTGGGCGCCTAAGGGCCCGATGCGGTTACTACATGAAAAATTGATTTTTAAGCAAATATTTTAGCGCGGATCAGAGAGCTTGTTGTTATCTCCCTTCGGTATTCTTCAACGAGCATCCCGATGAATGTGAGGAGTGTCAAAGAGGTGGATTCCGGTTATTCAGGATAATTTTTTGCATCAGATCAGAGAAGGAAGATTATAGAACGAGCTTTGTACGTTTTCTTTGTGTGTGAAGAGAAAACATGTGTGAGTTCTTTGTAAAACCATCTAAATTTAATAATGAAAATTTTTGGTGGTATGGCTCTGCAATTTTTTTTCCATTCTTGGGTTTTTTGACCTAAATTCTTCTGTATTTTTCTAGTTGCTTTGATTATAGTTCTGTTTCAATTTTTGTTCTGGTTTTCTCAAATTTTGTGATCTAATTCCACGGCGAAATTAAAAAGAGACTCTTTTGAGTCATAAGTTTTCTCTAACAAACTAGTATTAGAACGATGTTTGATTCGAGTGGGAGCAATGACTGAAGAAGCAAGGTTCAAAGTGGAGCGGTTGTTCAATAAGACGAACTTCACTTTCTAGAAGACGCAGATGGAGGATTTGTTGTATAAAAAAAAATTGTACTTGTCACTCAAGGAATCACAAGGAAGTCTGAGTCTATGCCTACGAAGGAATGGGAAGTGTAGAATTGAATGACACTATGTTTGATTAGATTGGCACTTTTATCATCTGTTGCGCTCAACATTGTAAATGAAAAAACTAAAGTGGATCTCATGGCAGCACTGGCCAAGATGTATTAAAAACTTTCTGCTTCCACGAAGAAATTATTTAATATGATCTCATGGCAGCACTGGCCAAGATGTATTAAAAATTTTCTGCTTCCAATAGGGTTTTTCTGATGAAGAAATTATTTAATATGAAGATGGTGGAAAGCAGTTCAGTTGCAGAGCATTTCAATAATTTTAACACTGTGACGAGCCAGTTGTGTTCTGCAGGGATCAAGTTTGATGATGAGGTCAGAGCACAAGTGATACTATCATCATTGCAAAAAAGCAGCAATGGCCTGGTAACGGCAGTGAGTAATTCTTCAGGGAATTCGAAGTTGAACTTCAATGATATCGTAGGTCTGATGTTGAATGAAGAAGTTCGCAGAAAAGCAGCAAATGGTGAATCTTCAGGTTTTACATTGAATGTTGATAACAAAGGAAGAAATTTGGGAAGGAGTACTAGCAGAGATAGATATAAGTCCAAAAAAAAGAAAAACCTAAGTCAAGTAAAGGAGTGTCGGAATTGTGGTAAGAAGGGTCATATCAAGAAAGAGTGCAAAGCTCCAAGGAAGACTGATGGTGGAGGATAGGAAAGTAGTTTCTCTACTAATATCTCTAATGGAGAAATCCAAAGTGAGTCCTTGATGTTACCCCTAGTCAGTATTGGATCCTATGGTCATTATTGAATCCTGAATAGTGGATTCAGGTGTCTCTTTTCATGCTTGCCCCAATAAAGAGGTATTTAAAAACTACACTCATAGTGGTTTGGGGAAGATTTTTTTGAGAGATAATAAGGCCATCATTATAGTTAGAAAGGGTGATGTTAATATCAAATTGTTGAATGAAACTGTCTGAAAGTTTACTGAAATTGATATATTTCAAGTTTGAGAGAAATATCATCTCTGTGAGCCAGCTGGCAAAGTCAGGACTCGTGACCAGGGGGAATTAGTGATGGCTCGAAGCAACATTGAAGATACCCTTTATCTGATCAATGAAATGACTGATTTCATTGATGTGGCAGGAACCAGGGTGGCTGCATGACACCATAGGCTTAGTCATATGAGTGAAAAATGTAAGAAGTCCCTACTTTCAAAGAATAAGCTTCAGATTTCTGTGAAGACTGTATTTATGGGAAGCAGAAGAAGGTTTTTTTTCTCCAAGAGCGGGTCAGTGATGAAATCAAAGAAACTGAAGTTATTGCATACTGATGTATGGGTTACTACTCCAGTTCAATCGATTGGAAGTAATTGTTATTTTGCCACGTTCATTAATGATTCCACGAGCAAGGTATGAAATTATTTCTTAAAACATAAATATGATGTGTTTAAAGTCTTTAAGAAATTGAAGGCTATGGTAGAAAATGGGGCAGACTGGAAGCTAAAGTTTCTTAGATCAGATAATAGAGGTGAGTACCATGATCAGAAATTCAGGAATTTTTGTGCTACAGAGGGGATCAAGCATGAGTTCATTGTCCCAAGCACATCACAATAGAATGGTGCGATTGAGCTCATGAACAGTGAAATTACGGAACGTGCTAGGCGCATGAGACGACATGTAGGCTTGCCAAAACAATTTTGGGAAGAAGCAGTAAACAAAACTGTTTATCTGATAAACCGCAGTCCATCAGAATTTTTCAAGGCTTACTTGAAGAAATCTAGAGTGACAAAAAGGTACATTTATCTCATTTAAGAGTATTTGGGTGTTCTTCATATATCCATGTTGATGGAGGGTTAAGGATCAAGCTTGACTCAAAATCTATCTAGTACACCTTCATTGGATATAACTCAGATGAATTTGAATACAAGTTCTGGGATTATCAAAATTAAAAATTCATTAGAAGCAAGGACGTCACATTTAATGAAATAAAAATTTACAAGTACAGGATCAGAATTCAAGACATTCCGTCAGCTACATTTGAAAAATTCAGATATCTGGAGATAGAAAACTGGTGATCAGAAAGATGGAGAAAGAAGTAGTGCCCAATCAGAAGGAGCACTGAAAGTTCCTCAATCACCTGCTATAGAAGTTAGAAGATCTAGTAGAGTGAAACAATCCATACAAATGTATTCTCCTTTTTTAAACTAACCAATAGTGATAAACCAGAGTGCTTTGAGGAGGCACTCAAATTGAAGATTTCAAGAGACCATGGATGAATAATACAATCTTTGGAGTCAAATCAGACCACGCAATGAGGATCCATGTGTGGAGTAAATAAAAAATAATAATACCCAACCATAAGGATATTAAAGCATATTTTTCTAATATAAATTTCTTCCAATATTAAAAATGATACCTAAAAAGCCACTAAAATATATCAAAATGGGACTTTTACACTTTTTTTATATATATTGGCCTCTGCAAAATTTTAGCCTCAGATAAAGCATAAAATAACGGTTAATCCTCATTCACATTATCTAGCTGGAAGTAAAAAGCTTTCCATATGAAACAGGCTTTCTTTAACAGAAGTAGATGTGACGAACTTTGTTGATAGTTAATTAGTAAGTACCTATGATACAAAAGCTCAAAATTTTGCAACTTTAATCTAATTTTGAGTATGGCTTCATTAACTCGCATTGTAGTTTTACCAAACTGGCTGTTAGAATGATTTAAACCATTTAATCAATACCTGAAATAATTTTATAGCATAGATCTGAAGTTCATCGACTCACTTTTAACAGTCATAAGAGCAATTAAACTTATCGCATAATCAATGTGAACTAGCAAGAATTTAAGGAAATATAGTACCTTTGGCTGCATCCATAGCGATCTTCAATCTACGAGCCCAATTGAGTGTTACATTTTTACTGTTTGAACCTGAAAATTAATACATATAAATAAATACCACAGATAAATATTAAAGTCCTTTCTCTATAACACAAAAAATACATGATATCAAAGCATACCATACAGATTATCAGCCAAGGATCCACTTGGAAGGTACTCATACACTAGAATCTGCTGCTTGGATTCGTGACAAAATCCTTCCAAGGAGACAAGATTTTGATGCCGAATTTGCGATAAAAGATGAACCTGAATAAACAGAACAAAAAAATTGTTAAGATAAATGTACATACAAACTATGGTTCTGTTTAGCAAAGTTTTTCTCGGTTAGGTTGAGCTTTTTTTTACTTTATATTGCAATATGTTATTGAATGAGAAAAAAAAATGGCAAAATTACCACCAAGATTGTTATCCAGAGTATTGTAAATGTTGCTATAATTTCTTGGTAAAAATTACTGTGATACTGATACTGTTAACTGACTTATTACAAAATTTAATTATTATCATAATTATTTCAGTATAAAACTAATAAAATAATTAATTTTATATTTATTAATACATGCCTAAATAGAAATATTTATCTTAAGTAACAAGTAATGGTTTATTGACCTTATAAATCAGGTTTGTTTGCCAATATAAATATCAATTAAGACATGATTAAGTATGCTAATTATTTTATCAATTAATTAATTCTTAATTGACCCATCATTTATTGATTCTTACTTAATAGCTTGGCACTCTTCCAGAGCCTGAAAGGAAAGGGGCTAGTCCCAATTTAGTAAATTACTTAATATGCACAGGTTGATCAAGCTCTTCGGATGCACGCAAAACTTATTATAATTAAAACCAATGTAGGTGAGGAAAACATCACTGGAGGAATTAAAGAAAAAGAGCATTTCCCTTCAAATAATAATTAACTGTTTTGAAAATTAATTCTTAAATAATTATTTAATTAATTCATAACTTAATTATTCTTGCAAATTTAATACCCCAATAAAAAAAATTAGTACCTAGTAATTTAATCCCAATCAAAGCAGCTCTTTTCAATTATAAATACATGAATATTTAGAATAACTTATTACTAACAAGGAATAATTAACACCTCAATTTTATTTTTAATCGGATAAATAACAGGATAAATAGTCAAAGGTCATGTGGTTGACTGCAAATTATTTTTAATCCATTACTGTTGACTGAAAAAATTTCTAGACCAAGCAAGAAATCTTATTGTTGTTGTTATTAATCAAGAGACTATTTTTTTTCAATATAATTATTGAGCCAAGAATGTTGTAGACCAGTGACAATGGACTACGGTAATACTGTTCTACAGCTCCTATAAGGTGTTTGTGAAGCGGGGTGTGCGGAGAGGTGATTTTGGAAAGGCAAGGGAAGGATAATGTGCAAATTTGACGGCATTCGGAAGGGAATAGGTGTAGTTCGGCAGCTGTCTTGGCTGAAAACTGCAAAGAGAACTCGGAATCGACAATATTCGGCGACAAGGAGATTCAACACCTTTTCCGGATCAAGATACAAATACATCAATTCAAAAAAGAAAACGATAAAAGAATGATAATTGCTAGAAAAGCCCATAATTAGAAGAAAAGAAATAGGAAATAAACTAGAAAAGACAAATCCACGTGAAATTTGATAATGGAACGATAATTGCTCGGTTCGCCTATAATGTGGTCATGGTCTTAACGTTTCCGCGACAAGAGCAATCATGCATAATCAATCCTCCTTACGAAATACCAAAATTGCAGAAAGGCTGCTATCAAGATCGCGAAATCAGTGGAACTCGCAAGAACGCGGCGTCTTGTGAAAACAAGATAGTGGATCTCGTGCAGGACGCTCCCGCATCATTCTACTTGACTATGAGGCTTTGCCTTCTTCTCTGGAGGTTTTTAAAATAGATCTACCAACATCATAATAAAGTAATTGTCTTTTATTGTGCCCGAGACAAATCCACTACAAAATTTATGATCACGATCATTCCACTCTAAAAAGCACACATCATTCCTAAAAATGTCCTGATAGAATAAATATTCATCCTTTTTTGACACAATTAGAGCTGGAATTGCACATAGATTGGTGCTTTCATAAACCACGTCTCAAGCCATTAAATTTATAACATGCTTCTCCAACACCTCGTACTCGGTTGGGCGCATTCGATAAACAAATTTGTTTGAAAGAATCGACCTTGGAATGAAATCTATGGTAAGCTGGACCACTCTCGAATGGCAACCACTCGAGAGATAAACGCTTAGTCGGTTAAAGATTAAATTTGGTAACTCCTTCAACATGGGTTGTCCCTTTTTATATATCGGCTCCTCCACCTCACTATCTTTTAAAATAATCAATATTAATTATGTCTTGATCTCTCACTTGAGTTTAGCATGAATCACTTTGAGAGTTCACTTTGACGTCTTCATTCTCTTCTATATCATTATTCAGTTTTCAATTGTTCCCTGCACAATGAAAACGATTGTTCTCTTATTTGAGCAATCAAACACCATGTGGTTAAAACTTTGACACTTGAAGCATTTAGTTGATGGATTTGGGAGTATGTTGACCTCATTTTCGGGTAACGTCTTCACTTCTCTCCTTAGAGCCTATGGTCTATCTTTAGGCTTCCCTTGTTTGACCCTCCTAGAGGACTAGTACCGGACCCACACCATTTAGAAAATTTGAGCCACATCGTCACTCCTTCGAGTCTCGCATGGGCAGTCCCGAATTCTCGACATTTTGCTGAGTTGGTTAGAGTTGACATATAAGACTCGAGTTGAGTTCCTACATTAATAGGAGCAGGCCCTAGGAAAACCTTCTGCGACTCGAATTCTCAGTAACGCTATATTTTGCGCACGCATCGCACCACGCACGATTTTGACAAGAATTGACTTCCTAGGCCCTAGGAAAACCTTCTGCGACTCGAATTCTCAATAACGGTACATTTTGCGCACGCATCGCACCACGCGCGGTTTTGACAAGAATTGACTTGCCCGTTAGTGAACTCTTCCAGACGAACCCCCCGGATGACGAGACAGACCACACAGATGTGCCTGGAACGTCAACTTTAGTTAGAAATGACATATATTACTATGGTTTCGCATGTGAGCAATTAACACGAAAATAAATACACGTTCTTTTTAATTAGCGGGGCGCGGGCCCGAGCTCAAATCAGGTTCAACTCGAGTTCGACTCGGGTCCAATTCGGGCTGGACACGGGTTGAACACGAGCTCGGTTATTTCAAATTTCAAAATTTGAATTTCAAATCAACCATTTAATTTCACATTAATTAAATTTAATTGAAGAATAACATTTGCCAAATAAAACCCCTCTGCGCATGAAAACTATTCATTTCCTCGTTGTATCACCTGTAACGGATATTTTGAAAGTTCAGCTATACAATTGGCAAGGTCTTTCGAACTAGTATTATCCGGCCCCCGCTCCTCCCTAGCTCGACTCCCGCTCATTCACGCATAAAGAAATTCGGCTCTCCCGCTCGCCTCACCCGCTCCTCCGCTCGATCCTGCTCCCCCTCTGCGATCTGATCTCCTTCTCTCGCTCGCCTATTTCCTTCTCCCGCACAATCGAGAGCCCATTCGACTCCTTCCTTCTCGCGCACAACCGAGAGCCTCACCTGCTCTCCTCTCAGTGAACCGAAACCCTCAATCGCGTCGTCCCCTGCTCCTACCTCTTTGCACCGCGACCAAACTGCTCTACCCGGCTTCGCTCTTCCTCTCGGCGAACCGAAGCGCTCGACTCCTCGCTACGCCAAAAACCCCCGCTCGACACCTTCTCCTCGCTGTGTTGAAGAGCTCCACTATCGGCATTAAGATTAACTCAAAAAAAGATCAAGGCTATTACGGTTTGGATAAGACCATAGTCATTCTTAAGTACATCTATTTCAAGGAAAAACTTTTTTCATGGGAGATTGTTCAAAAATTCCAACTCCATTGCAACACCCTTGACAAAGCTCCTCAAGTCGGATTGATTTACTTGGTCGAATGAAAGGCACACTAGCTTTAAAATTTTGAAGAAATAATTTACTTAGGCCCATATTCTAGCCCTTCCATATTTTAACTAGAAATTTGAGGTGAAGTGTGATGTCTCTGATGTAGAATTTGGAGCTATGTTGAGTTAAGGAGAACACCATATTGTCTTTTTCAATGAGAGGTTGAATGAAATTAGGAGAAAATATTCTACCAATGCTAAGGAATTTTATGCCACAGTAAGAACCCTCAGTCATTAAAGTCATTATTTGTTGACAAAAGAATTTACTCTTTACACTGATCACGAGGCCTTGAGATTTTTAACAGCCAAAGAAAGATAATTGGCAGACATGCCTTTTGGGTGAAAGTGAAATTCCTCTCTTCTTTCCATTTTGTGCTCAAATAAAAGATGGAGAGCTAGAACAAAGTAAATAATGAGCATTCATTGTCACTTATTGATCACTACTATGTAGTCAAAGGTAATTGAACTTGAAACGTTAAAGGATATATGTCACTAACAAGAATTTTTAGGAGATTTGGGATCATTGTCAGAACAAACTTTATGAGTAGCTTCACAGATTAGATTATTAATTTGCAATCATTAGTCAAGTTTTCAACTCTTTGTTCGATTTCATATCACTCAAATTCTGAGCATCTAAGCATAGCCTAGGATATGCAAAATAAGAATTACACTTGTGAAATCCACAATAAGAGAGGTGTTCCTTATATTAGGAACTTAAACATCGGATGTAACATAGAATTCAAAACGAATGAAGAATGAAATTGGCATAGAAAAACTACAAAACAGCCCTCAAATCCAATATGCCCCCTTCGTTAGTGCAAATGAAAATCAAAATGATGTGAAATGACTCATCATCATAACTTCACTAGTTTCAAAATAAAAATAAAAAACGTTGATAAAAATCCAAGACTACTGCTGGTGGAAAACATACCTCATTGATGAATGAATCTGCTCCAAGTTGTGTTTTATCAAGACGTACTTTAACAGCCACTTGTTTTCCATCTGAAAATTTTCCACGGTACACGGATCCAAATCCCCCAGTTCCTATGACATCCTTAAAATTGTTTGTTGCGGCCTTAATTTCTTTGTAAGTGAAAATGTGGGCTGTACACCATTTTTTTATCTCTCTCGTTGTCCCTTTAATCAATGGAGAGCTATTAATCAGATTTTATTCTCACTAGATTCTAAAGGTTATATATACTTACCTGGTTTTGATATCAATTCATTCTTCCTCCACCGCTTCTTCCAGGAAATGAATAAAACGATTGTGACAAGGAAAAGGACGCAACAGAAACATCCAACAACACTGATTATGATAGTTTTGTGGGTATGGACAGAACGCTTTTTCATGTTTATGACTGTAAATTGTGGAGTTTCAAGTGAAGTATGGTTTTTAGGTCTATCGCATGATGAAGCAGAGAACGCTATAGGCACAAATTTCCAGAAGTTCTGAAGAAAAAAAAATGTAGATACATTAATCTTTATTATTAGAATCAAACCACTGAATAGTTAAATTACCTGATCTCCAGATTTTTCTTATTCAGAGACTGTGGTAAAACACCTTGAAGCTTATTATTTTCCAAATTTCTGCCCAATAATCATACAGCAACTTCTGTTGGCAAACCAAAGTCAGCTATTTTACATTTTAAATTGACTTGGTTTCCTTACAATAAGTGAAGGTCCTTCAAAGTTCCCAAACTATCTGGAATTGGCCCTTTTAGACTGTTGTTTTCCAAGTCCCTATGCAAAGTCAGAAAGAAATGGGTCATTTTAGCTTGAACAAAAGGTTCAATCCAAAAAGCATAAGGTTCCGCTAATGCAAGGTCACAAAGAAAATTTGATATTCTATATAAAAAACTCTTCATAGAAGAAAGAAAGAACAAAAGAAAATGTTAACCTCCATGTCTGTCATAATCCAATACAATGAAATGCGACATCGAAAATGGATATCAATGCAAAGCAACACAAAATAATTTCAAGATACAACAATCTCATCCAAGAGCACTTAAAAGTCACTCTTTCGCAAAACGGACCGTATTGATGCATCCCCAACGTCATGAATAGTTGGGAAAACACCCATATCGTCCAATCTATGGCACAAAAGCAAAACACAAAACCCACTGACACAAAATGCCACCACAAAATCTGACTAGAGTGACGAAATTTTATCTTTTACTTTCTATATCAAAATATAAAATCTCATTTATTTTATAACTGTACGTATGCAAATATGAAGTATATTATAAGTGCATAAATATACATACAAAAATAAACTACAAATTAAAAATACAAATTTTGAGAGGTCTCAAATTGAATAATCTAACAAGTACATGTTCTTGCCTAGATTTAATTGGCTCAAAATCAGCCTGTTCTTACTCAACATATTTGCACCCATATAGAGATTTACATAGATCTGCCTCAAGAACTTGGTTTACCAAAGACATAACTTTGTCTTAGATTTATCAATTTCCATTCAATAAATCAAAATGTGCTTTGATCTATTAAATTTGCTTAGTTGAAATAAATGAAAAGTGAATATTATGCTACATAACTATAAACTATGTCAATTCAAAATTTTAATGAGTACTCAAAAAACCAAACTGTTGACCAAAAAATCAATCACAATAATAAGGAAGCCATAATCGTCAATGAAAATAGAAGTATGACATTAGGTTTGATCAAAATGATAATTTTTATAAGATGTACATGTAAAATAACGTTTTGTATTTAATGGCAGCCTACTTAACAAAAAAAAGCAATTGCATTATAAAAATTAAACTGTACTAAAAAAATTTCTGAACAAAAGTTAATAAACAAATAATTATCATAAGCCCATTCACTTCAAATACTAAATTGGTTCCTACACTTAAATAAATAACTGTGCCTGAAACAAATGATTATCAAGTAGAATAAATAATATTGATCTAAACTCTATTTTAAGCGCATATATGAGTTAGGCTTTATAATTTATAAACTAAAATTTACAACTTCCGGTTGCAAATCACCCCCAATACATTTGATTTAAAAAAATTGCTCGAGTGCTGGCCTTATTTAAGTTAATTTTGCAACAAATTAGGAAAGGCAATCCTTTATAATAATTCCATTGCCAATATGGACAAAAAGTATGGCAATTTTGAGGAAGTTTATACAATGTCACAAAAAAGAGAATATATATCCCTTTTATTGGAAATTTAAGTAAAAAAAAATCGTTGAATGATTTTAATTATAATCAAAACAAACTAAGCCAAGATTGACTATTCGATGAGTGTTAGGTCATAAACATTGTGTCAACAAAACTATAATATCAAACTAAACAATTGAACCATAATTATTTCCATAGATTGCACCAATCTGTTAGGTGGCAAATTGAAGAGGCATAAGAGTATAACCATGTAAAACACAAATTCGTAATTGTAAATATCATAGCTTAGCCTATTTAATCCTTCTAAAATGCTCGCTATCGATGTGTTTTGCATCTATAAGATGGTCTTAATTTTCCTTATCTATTTATGAGAGAGAGAGAGAGAGATAATGTACTAATAGAAAGCTCCTATAAAGCAATCAAATTCTTGAATATTTTTTAATTTCTCAAAATAAAAAGGGGGGTGTTTCTTCCACCCTATAATATTTGCAAACTTAGGAATTAACAAAGTAAATAGGGAGAAGGGTGTAATTAAGTCGATTCAGCTTAAGTTCGGTTCATGCATGAGCTCACGAGTTGAGCTCGAACCATAAATGAATCGAGTTCTACGCTAACATAGCCATATTTTCTCTTGATAAGCTAATAAATTTGTACAAAAAAAAGAATAAAGGTATATTTATAAATACATATGGATTAACATAAAGTGCTCAATTTTTTTAACTCTAAACCTATAAGCATTATATCATATGTGCTCACAACCTATAAAATGATCAACTTAGTTTGATGTAGAGCTCCACCAAAATGAATGAACCCTAGCATCTATCCCATAGTGCTCTGTGCAGCCCTTAGCACGCGCATCAGAGCGCTTCTATGCTCACTCTCCCCTTGTAGCAATTTTCAAATGTGTTTGCATATGTTCTGCATAAAATCAATCTCCATCACATGTGTGTGCGGTTTCTCGCAAATCTAAGCATCTAGGAGTTAAGAACTCTTCTCTCATTCTCTCGCGCGGCATTTTGGTGTCGATTTTCTAGCCAGTCTGATGAATCAACGAGAGGCCAAATTGGTCAATCAAACTTCTTTGAGCTGATGTACGATAATTTAATTTCTAGGAAAAGGAAAGGTTTTGCTGAGGAAGACGTGTTCTGTTGTTGAAGATGGCCGTGCTGCCCACCGCGCTAGCTCCAAGCTCCTCGACGTGACGAGTTTAAGTTTTCTAGAGTTTCCGGTTGTAGTATCAAATCAAACGGTCCTATGGTTGTAGTCCTCTAAACATCCTATGTAAAAAAAAGTAAACATGTTTAAAATTATAAAATATAAAGCATACCATACAAATATAAACGATACCATACAGGAATGAACAGTAGCATGCAAGTAAAACAGTAGTAAGCAAAAAAATTTTCCAAATTTCTGCCCAATAATCATACAGCAACTTCTGTTGGCAAACCAAAGTCAGCTATTTTACATTTTAAATTGACTTGGTTTCCTTACAATAAGTGAAGGTCCTTCAAAGTTCCCAAACTATCTGGAATTGGCCCTTTTAGACTGTTGTTTTCCAAGTCCCTATGCAAAGTCAGAAAGAAATGGGTCATTTTAGCTTGAACAAAAGGTTCAATCCAAAAAGCATAAGGTTCCGCTAATGCAAGGTCACAAAGAAAATTTGATATTCTATATAAAAAACTCTTCATAGAAGAAAGAAAGAACAAAAGAAAATGTTAACCTCCATGTCTGTCATAATCCAATACAATGAAATGCGACATCGAAAATGGATATCAATGCAAAGCAACACAAAATAATTTCAAGATACAACAATCTCATCCAAGAGCACTTAAAAGTCACTCTTTCGCAAAACGGACCGTATTGATGCATCCCCAACGTCATGAATAGTTGGGAAAACACCCATATCGTCCAATCTATGGCACAAAAGCAAAACACAAAACCCACTGACACAAAATGCCACCACAAAATCTGACTAGAATGACGAAATTTTATCTTTTACTTTCTATATCAAAATATAAAATCTCATTTATTTTATAACTGTACGTATGCAAATATGAAGTATATTATAAGTGCATAAATATACATACAAAAATAAACTACAAATTAAAAATACAAATTTTGAGAGGTCTCAAATTGAATAATCTAACAAGTACATGTTCTTGCCTAGATTTAATTGGCTCAAAATCAGCCTGTTCTTACTCAACATATTTGCACCCATATAGAGATTTACATAGATCTGCCTCAAGAACTTGGTTTACCAAAGACATAACTTTGTCTTAGATTTATCAATTTCCATTCAATAAATCAAAATGTGCTTTGATCTATTAAATTTGCTTAGTTGAAATAAATGAAAAGTGAATATTATGCTACATAACTATAAACTATGTCAATTCAAAATTTTAATGAGTACTCAAAAAACCAAACTGTTGACCAAAAAATCAATCACAATAATAAGGAAGCCATAATCGTCAATGAAAATAGAAGTATGACATTAGGTTTGATCAAAATGATAATTTATATAAGATGTACATGTAAAATAACGTTTTGTATTTAATGGCAGCCTACTTAACAAAAAAAAGCAATTGCATTATAAAAATTAAACTGTACTAAAAAAATTTCTGAACAAAAGTTAATAAACAAATAATTATCATAAGCCCATTCACTTCAAATACTAAATTGGTTCCTACACTTAAATAAATAACTGTGCCTGAAACAAATGATTATCAAGTAGAATAAATAATATTGATCTAAACTCTATTTTAAGCGCATATATGAGTTAGGCTTTATAATTTATAAACTAAAATTTACAACTTCCGGTTGCAAATCACCCCCAATACATTTGATTTAAAAAAATTGCTCGAGTGCTGGCCTTATTTAAGTTAATTTTGCAACAAATTAGGAAAGGCAGTCCTTTATAATAATTCCATTGCCAATATGGACAAAAAGTATGGCAATTTTGAGGAAGTTTATACAATGTCACAAAAAAGAGAATATATATCCCTTTTATTGGAAATTTAAGTAAAAAAAAAAATCGTTGAATGATTTTAATTATAATCAAAACAAACTAAGCCAAGATTGACTATTCGATGAGTGTTAGGTCATAAACATTGTGTCAACAAAACTATAATATCAAACTAAACAATTGAACCATAATTATTTCCATAGATTGCACCAATCTGTTAGGTGGCAAATTGAAGAGGCATAAGAGTATAACCATGTAAAACACAAATTCGTAATTGTAAATATCATAGCTTAGCCTATTTAATCCTTCTAAAATGCTCGCTATCGATGTGTTTTGCATCTATAAGATGGTCTTAATTTTCCTTATCTATTTATGAGAGAGAGAGAGAGAGATAATGTACTAATAGAAAGCTCCTATAAAGCAATCAAATTCTTGAATATTTTTTAATTTCTCAAAATAAAAAGGGGGGTGTTTCTTCCACCCTATAATATTTGCAAACTTAGGAATTAACAAAGTAAATAGGGAGAAGGGTGTAATTAAGTCGATTCAGCTTAAGTTCGGTTCATGCATGAGCTCACGAGTTGAGCTCGAACCATAAATGAATCGAGTTCTACGCTAACATAGCCATATTTTCTCTTGATAAGCTAATAAATTTGTACAAAAAAAAGAATAAAGGTATATTTATAAATACATATGGATTAACATAAAGTGCTCAATTTTTTTAACTCTAAACCTATAAGCATTATATCATATGTGCTCACAACCTATAAAATGATCAACTTAGTTTGATGTAGAGCTCCACCGAAATGAATGAACCCTAGCATCTATCCCATAGTGCTCTGTGCAGCCCTTAGCACGCGCATCAGAGCGCTTCTATGCTCACTCTCCCCTTGTAGCAATTTTCAAATGTGTTTGCATATGTTCTGCATAAAATCAATCTCCATCACATGTGTGTGCGGTTTCTCGCAAATCTAAGCATCTAGGAGTTAAGAACTCTTCTCTCATTCTCTCGCGCGGCATTTTGGTGTCGATTTTCTAGCCAGTCTGATGAATCAACGAGAGGCCAAATTGGTCAATCAAACTTCTTTGAGCTGATGTACGATAACTCCATTGAGCTTAAACATCTCGACATATCATCTAAAATTTATTATAGAAAAAGATTAAACCAAACTTCTTTCATGATGCTCACACTATAACAGTAGCTTCCCAATGCGGATGCTAAAATGGTCCTCTCCCCCATTTTGATTGTTGTGTGGAACCCCTTACATCTTTATCCATATTATTTCAAACGATCTACCTTATTGTCTTTAGTTTCTATTTTTTGGAAACATTTATAAGTGGATGTTATGATAGCCCCCATTTATAAGTGGATGTTGTGATAGCCCATCTTTCTATGCCTTTTGTCGCTAGTGTTCTAGTGGAATTGGGCATTTCATCCTACCTTGATAAAGGTATGAGAATTGGGTCCCTGTCATCTAGATATTAATAAAAGGTGGAATTTAAAAACATTCAATCACATTAATCCTGACATTTTTTTGGCATAAATCCTTAAACTATTTTAATGCTCGCCCTCTCTAAAATATTAGACGCATAACCTTCCACTAAAAGCTCATATTCAACTTGCTACCCAATTATGAGAAGATCCTTCTTCAGCGGCTAGGATATATTCTCAAAACTTGGATCCAGGTTCAAACTCTTCTTTGGAGATGATGAATAATACTCCTAACCCAACCAGTCTCTTGGTGTTGGTCACTTAATCATATGTTGATATTATCATCAAAAACAATCCACAAGTTTTGATACTCAAATCCACCCTACTTGCAAACAGAACAATGATAAAATATCTTAGCAGCTATCTAAATCAAGTTGGAGCATTTAATATTGATTTTTTGGTAGATAAAAAATTTTATATCTTTTATAAACTAAAAGAAACAAAAAATAAAATAAAAATGTATCAGCATTCACCTATACTTACCAAACATAAAAGAAGATGATCCAAATGAGTAAATTGTAATTTTCATAATCCATAGGATGTTTCACCCTTATTCTTTTGTAACCACTTACTATGCTATTACATTGTTCTTTTTTTCTCTGGCATTTTTTTGTAATTATCCTTGCTATACTCATACCATTATTTAATTTATATATTTTGGTTTAAAAATATGCTCACACCCTACCCTTGCTCTTTCAAGTTAAACTGTCACATCAGTCTGCCGTGATTTCTTCTCCATTAAACCAAGCTATCCGACTCCACATTTTCTTCTTAACCACACCAATAAATAATATCCTCGCTTGTTGCCCCACTCCCTGTCGCACCAGTATAAAAGATGGAGTGATAAACTCTTCAACCACTATGGCATGATTGTTACTCCCTCTATCACCACATGGTCTTCTTCTTCCTCTTCCATGTATTTTTGTCCTTCATTATTTCAATGGGATATAAAATGCTTGGTGTCAACAATTAAATATCAATAACAATTTATCATTAAAAAAAATGGAATAAAAACAATGAAATTTTGAAGATGAAAAGCAGCGGTATTCAACATTCTCATGTAAGTGCTCATATCATATTACTTATTCAACATAACTAAACTATATGACAATAGAATACTATGTTAGCGTAACAATGCTATGTAAAGGGAATGGTTTTCATATCTTTTGATATCTAAGAATTTCATTTTGAGAACACTACAATAATAAGGGAAAAAACAATGTGTTCAGCAAACTGTTTTCTCCTGCAGAATCTACAGTTTCATCTGAAGCACTTCAAAAGAAAATAAAAGATGAAAATGGGAACATACAAAATCTGAAGGTTGATCATGGTGCCAAATTCAGATCCAAAGGATGTTAACATATTGAAGCTAAGATTCCTGCAATTTGTTTCCATCATACATGGATATCAGCATTAAAAATAGAAACAGGGAAAAATAAAAATTAGTAATAAGGAAAAAGAGCTGTTGGACTGACTCAAAGAATTAAGAGGAAAAGCTTACAATACTTCGAGTTCTTGTAAACTGCCCAAGTTCATGATCTCCCCAGTTAGTGATGTATTGTGTAAATCTCTGGAAACACGTAAATTAGACAACAAAATTGTCTAAACACCCAAATGCATATCAATGAAATATTGGAAGAGAGACTACAGTTTCTTAAGGTTGAGCAGATCTCCAAATGTTGGACTGATGACCCTCAAATCCACATCAGACAGCTCCCTGAATACATCAAGAATAGCCCCAACTGTAAAAAACGGTTTTGAATATATATATATGTAGATGGATGTGGTGTCTATGTAGACAACATCGTGCTCACGGGTAACAATTTGCCGGTGACCCTGTTGCCTCAAATAGACAATGAGGATGGAGTAGTAAACTCCGGTGACCGTATTGCCATCCACATCGTCCATTTTGATGGCATGGTGCTCAAGATAAAAGTAAAGTGCCAAAATAATCCTTGACTATTTACATGGGGTAGTTATAGTCCCAAATATATTAAAATTGAGCTCTAATAGTCCTCAATAGAAACTATTTCAAACCCAGTTTAAAAAATCTAGAAACTATTTGGCGATTATATAAAATTTGCGACTAAAACAACCAATGTAAATAGTTGGAGACTATTTTGGCACTTTTTTCTCACAGGCAACGATTTGACGGCCTTGGATTCTCTCAAGGTCATCCTCACCAAGTCATTTGAGAAGAAAGACATGAGTTCCCTCTGGTATTTTTTAAGCAAAGAAGTAGCTCGGTCCTCTCGGGACATTTGCCTTTTCCCAAAACAAATATGTGATGGATTTACTAACCGAGACTAATCTACTTCTTCACAAACTAATAGTTGTCCCGATATAACCCATTGAGAAATTATTTAAAGTTCCCAATGTAATTTTGGTGAACAAAATGTGCTACCAATGCCTCGTATATTAGCTCATTTATCTTGCCAATATGAGCCCGGATATTTGTCATAGATTAGTTTCATAAGTCAATTTATGTATGACCCCTACAAGCACCATCTCACCATTGTCCATCGGATCCTCCACTACCTAAAAGGCACACCGGGCTCAAGTTTATTGTTCATTCGTCACACCTCTCACTCTATTATAGTTTATACGGATTCTGATAGGGCCGAGTCCATCTATTGTCAGTGATTTATCTCGAGTTATTACTCCTTCGTTTAAGGGAATCTTGTCATTTAGAAAAATAAAATCAGTCTGTTGTTGCCCATAGTTAGGGCTTTTAAAACGGCTCATTGTTTGTGAACAGCTCGTGTTTGGCTCGTTAAGAAGCTCGTATTTGAATCATACGCTAAGTTAACGAGTCGAATAAGAAAATTTTTTTTGCGCTCGACATATAAATGAGCCGAACACGAACAAGTATTTGTTCGTTCGTGTTTGGCTCCTTTGGCTCGAAAAAGTTACATATATATATATGAGTAGTATTTTTAAAAATTTTAATTAACTACAAGTCAACAAAGCTTTATTTTCAATTTAAATTATTAATTAAAAAATAGAATAAAATATATATTAAATTATATTTAAATATTGTTTTAATATAAATAATAAGATTTAAATTTTGCCCAAACCCTTAACATCCTACAGCTGCGTGACTACGTTATCAAAATGTCTCTACAAACCCTTAACATCCTACAGCTGCGTGACTACGTTGTCAAAATGTCTCTATGTTCGTGAATCAGCTTGTGTTCAGCTCATTAAGCAAATGAGTCGAACACACTTTTTTTTCGAAATATAAACGGCAAAACACGAACAATGATATTTTTTAATGAGTCAAACACAAGTGAATTTCGGTTCGTTTTCACTCATACCCATAATAACGCTTAAGCCAAGTTTAGCTCTATCTTTGGGTGTGCATGTGAAGCCCTCTAATTGTGCATCATACTCCACTAGTTACATATATCGGTCACCATTCATTTGCGGCTTTTTGTTATAATAAAGTCATCATTAGCATTGCTCATAATCCAGTCCAAACATGATTATGCCAAACATCTGGTGATTAACCGTCGCTTTATCAAGAAGAAACTCAATTTTGGAGAGATTTGTGCTCTGTTTATCTCATCCACTAATCAACTCGCTGATATTCTCACAAAGATTTTCCTTGCCTGTTGTTTGATGATTTCAAGTCCAATTTGAATATGATTGACATCTATACTTTAACTTGAGGGAGAGTGATAGAAGTTATATTAGGATTTTATTGATTTCTTGATATTTCCTATTTATGAATTTTCTTTTATTTTCGGCTAGTTATAAGAGTATATATTTTTAGTTTATTTGATTTGATTTTTGTAATCTTGGAGATATGGGTGTTATTTCTTCCCTACATCTAAGAATCTTTCCTAAATTTAGGAGATATGGGGTGTTATTTTTTTTCTTAAGTTTAGGATTCTTATAAGTGTATTTAAACTAAAATTTCATATCAAAAAAAGTATCCAGCTCAAGTCTCCAAACCTATAATATATATATATATATATTCATATCAAAAAAAGTATCCAGCTCAAGTCTCCAACCTATAATATATATATATATATAGTTGGCACTACTCATAGCTCCCATCACACTTCATAAGGCTAACAATACTTCAGAAGACAACAAAAACCTAGAGGAAGGATTCAAATATTGTATTATTTCTTTCAATTGCTCAATTGACCGTGAGATTAACCTAATCTCCTTAAATTGACACTTTAATAGCATGCCATAAAGGAACCTAATTGAGATTAAAGAATGAGTTAGCAAGGCCGAACCTAATTCATCTCCTTAATTGCATGTAACCATAGCTTTGAAGAAGAAATACCTTTACTTCAACTACAAGATGGGTTGAGATGGGAATTGATCATAAAAATTTTGGTTGGATGATTAGTTAATCATCATGAGAAACCTAAAATTTGGGTGAATGAAAGTCTTGTTTAATTTTATCTTTTGATTTGACTAATGAACTGTAGATTCCATTTGAATGAAAATATCATGTATGTGTTCCAAGACAGGTTTACCAAACTTGGATGAAATTAGGTGGAATGTAATCCATGCCTAATTAGGAGTTTATAACTTGTTGTATGACTGCATGTTTAAATTTAATTTCGTGATATATCAGATTAACTCTGATAAAATATATATAGATTTGAGTTCTTCTTAATTTTAGATTGGGTGTTCTCATAAAATGATGAAAAAAAAGCTATTGATTCTAGATTAATAAAACTGAACTCTACCATATTGTAGAAGAGAATTCTTCTAAATCTTTAGTAGGTGTCCTATTTATTTCTTATTCAATGCCTTCTATTAATATTAACTATAGATATATAATGATTTAATTGTATTTTTTTAGAAAGTGAAATTGTGAATCAATTCTATGAAAAATCATTGATTTAAGTAATATCCAAAGACTAAAATTATTGTTTAACTTCGTTTGTGGCCTCCTATGCTTAACTTTTTGCATTTTAATGAATAGTTATTAGATCTAAAATTTTTTAAAATATAGATATCTTGAAGCACCATGTGTTGGAGTAAGATCAAAGTAATAATCACGACTTCAAACTGCATATTGGCTCTGTCAAGTAGGCAACTCGTTATTCGGTAAGAGAGAAATAATATCATTACCTATTAGGGGAGTTTTTCTTATCGCTTGTTATAGGCTTATTTATTTCTTAATAATTATTATAAAATGTATTTATTTGTTCATAGTACTTCATATATTCATATTGATAAGATGTACAATTAATTTTATCATATTACTTATTGCATAGATTTTTGATTTATTCATGTTCATTGCTTGATTGGTATGGGTGAAATCATATCTATCAAACCAAAGACCTTTTTCAATATGCAACAGACATTACTAATATTGATTATATAATCCTAGTCATTATATGATTATATCTTGGTCGTTACATAGTATTTGTGTAATATATGCTCGTGTGTTGGATGGATGTAAATGTCTATAGTGAGATATTGTGGTACAAGTAGATAGAGTGACAATTCTTTTTGGGCTATTTAACTCCACTAGCTGCTGGAAAGCCTTCCTCCTCTCCAGGCTATCACAAACAACCATATATAAAAGACATAATAATAAATGTCTAATGAGTTACTTTTCAATTTATAAAATGGTATGCATGCACATGGATGATTTAGCATTATAATGCAACAATTTCCATTTTATATACATTTTCTTTTAAATTATATTGCATGGTAAATTTATCACAAACTAAAAGTGTTCTGACATATTAGCTATGACATCAGGGGTGTAAACTAGCCGAGCTTGAGTGAGCTCAGAACTTATTCCTGTTTGACTGTTTCAAAAAAATTTTTTGTTCAAAATAAACTTGTGTTCGAAATGACTTGTGCATATGTTTTTCATGTTCGAAAAATAGATTGATTCAAATTAGATTTGTTCAAATAAGCTCATGTTCAACTCGAATTTGAGCCTGATTGAGTGAACTCCACTTGTTTAACTTTTCTATCGAACTGAGCCTTGCCTCAAGCTCGCATTAAATTTTTATATGTGATTATTAAGACGTAATCAAACCTCCAAGCTGTCATAATTTTTTTTATATTTGATTATTAAGATGTAATCAAATTAAAAGAGTTTAATAAATTAAATTATTAATAAACTTAAAAAACTAATTATTTCTTACAACTATATTGATAATATAACATAATAATATCACCTCCCTTCCAACTCAAAGCTTCCGTAACGTTCAAAGGCATAAGCTTTACTTTTGCTTTTAAATAGCAGGTCTAATATATAAATGACAGATGTTATGGCTTGAACCGTGGAAAGC